ATATATCAAATAACAGCTTAAAACTCGTGTATGTAGAGCTTTTGTGTTTATTTACCTTTTTGACTTTCATTAAGCACTGGTGATGTCTTTTACAAGGAAAAAAGTGCAGATAAGATTAAAAAAAGTGCAGATAAGATTGCAACAAGTCTAAACCATCTGCGGGAGGGCCATTAAGACCAGAGGGACAAGTACCCCTTTCTAATACAAAACTCAATTGAGTTTGAACTCTGCAGACCCATTCTTTAGATTCAATGTTGGAGAGTTGTAGAAAAATATAATAAAAACAAACCTAAATACCCCTATCAATACTAATCAGATATATATTTCAACAATTTACTCTATCTGGAGCATGAATATGTCTGAAATATGAAGTAAAGATACTTTTCTCAGTTACTATCAGAATTTCAGTTCTGCAAGTGCACTGCTTTTGATGAACATTATTCYTGTTTTACTTTCTTAAGTGTATCCTACAATATTAATTTTGGCCAACATTTCCCTAAAGCAAGGATTTCGAATCTTCTACCAGCCAGAAAGTAGTCGGTTTTGCATATCTCTTAACCAAATTAAAAAGATTTCAGGACCAGATAAATAAACATATAAGCCGTTACAAAGGTAATATAAAGAGTTGGTAAATCTCACCTTGTCTTTCACCATGCTGTTATGAGCATCTGTATTAAGCATTATCACAGAATAGGAAAGGACATATGTTGTATCAGCACTAGTAAACGAATTAGGATTGCACTTACAATAGCGCTCCGCAAATTTTTCCATGATACGGTCAATTTTCTGCGCCTCACCATGTAATCTAAAACCCCTTAGAAAAAATCTAATAGCCTCACCAAAGTCCATTCCATCAAAATTAAAGGAATCAACATAAGCATGCATTACTTTTAATGAGAAATCATCCCTTTCGGCCAAATAGTCACCAATCATAGTCTCATTCAAACCAGAATCCAATGGATGTTTAAGGTAAGCTAAACTCCACGGAAGGAAATGGTAACTCAAGAAAACGGCTGGGGAGACCTGATTTGATTGCTTGATCAAGGATTGACCCAAATCCGAGAGCATTGACTAGGGTGGTAACTAACGTGACTCTAACACCATGTTGAGCTACTAACTTAACTATGTCAATGGTGGGGATATAGTGGCCTGGTGATACTAAGGGTATAACAAGAAAGTGAAGCTGGTTGTATTCCTGTAATTCCTCTAAAGCCATTTCACAGTCTGGCTGGTATGGTGGAGTGATTGGATCTATGTTCAATCATGGAACTGCATTTGCATTCTGATTAAAGGGTTTCATTCCCCTTCACTGCTTTCTAATGATATTTTATTAACGTATGATGTTGTAAGTGTAAACATAAGCATGGATGTGCTTAGAAAATCAAAAAACATAGCATTAAAAATATGAACTAGTCAATTTTTGGACTAACAGAAACTCCAATCGAGTACAATATAAAATATGAACAACCACATAACAGTGATCATAACAACCACATAACAGTGTTCATAACGCAATACAGAGGAGGAAGATTGTGTTCACATGAACCACGTATAATTAATAAGTTATGAACACCTAATGATACCCATCTAAGTTGGTCACTAAAATATGAACAACCGCATAACAGTGTTCATAAAGCAATACARAGGACATGCATGTTTGTTATATCGATAAGTTGTTCAACATTTGGTCTAGTTGGGTGTGACAAATGTGCCAGCTATATCGATAAAGCAATGAACAATCACATAACAGTGTTCATAAAATTCTTGTTCTTATAAAATAAAGATAAAATGCATTTTAATTTTTGATGAGATACGTTCATAAAACATATATCAATTAACAGCTTAAAACTCGTGTATGTAGAGCTTTTGTGTTTATTTACCTTTTTGACTTTCGTTAAGCACTGGTGATGTCTGTTTCACTTCCATCGATTCTTGATTTAGCCCTATTCGACTTGAAGTTTCTGTGTTGCTTGTCTCTGCATCCACATCAACCGGGTTGTCGATTGTGTTCTTGAAATTTGAGAATGTGTGCTTCTTCATTAGTCTTTCGCTCATTCTCCGTCCTGTAGTCAAGATTGAACAAATATGAACGGATTTAAAGTATTATTTACAAAATCGAAGCCCTAATTTCTTTTAAGCATACCWCTTACTCTATTCCCTTCGCCTTGCATTCCTCCCAAATCGTCCATTGTGCGATTACCATTCTGAACTAGATTTTTCGCCGATGATGAGCAATGTTTCTCGATCAGAATGGCGGTTTCGTGCTTGATTACAGGATACGGGAATCGACCGCCAACGTTTTTCAATGTCAATAATTTTTTGACAGAAATACCCTCTGAACCTATTGTTCATAGACATTTCAATAATTATTAATTAATTGATTATTTTTTAACTCTCATTTAATAAGGACCATTAGATGATCACATGAACGATCAAGATCGGGTTAGCAAGTTAGTACAAAATATTTGGTTAGTATTTGAACCACCCTCTATATATATATATACTATGTTATTAAGTAAATTTAGCAAAAGTCTTAAAATACTAAATGACCAAAATACCCTTTATACTCACTTTTTCATTTTTTCATTTTTTCACCCCCTCCCCTCCTCTACTCACATACATTCACCCCTTACATACACTTACCCCCTCATAACATATTTTTTAAAAATTATAATTTTAAATTTACACTTTATACCCCTATAATTAATTAATTAATTTACTTTACATCYTTTACTTTTAAATGTTTTATTTTAAACTTTTATCAAATTAACATACATAATCGTATATCAATTAAAACATGTTTAAAAAGTACATTTTTATTTTAACAAGTTACACCATTATAATCGTCTCGTTAATACCTTCAAAATGAGTCCAATATTGAATAGTTTTTGACTTATTTATATTATTATATATACTAGGAAAAAATATTTTTAATATTTACGATTTATACTTTTATAGTTATTTATTTATATATATACTATATATTTTAGGGTTAGGCTGTCCAACTTGCACTATATAATATGTTTTAAATTAATATGTTGGGTTTTTTTTTAAATATATATATACATGTATTAATTCAACCTTAATCTGAGTTTCTGGACAATAAAGATGGTAAGCAGTTGAAATTTCATTCTAAAACCCATCTTTTTTTGTCTTTTCATGGCTTATGATCTGTCAAATTTGTAGTTTTCTTTATTGATTTTGAGTGTTTATCTTAAAACTCAAGTTTTTTGTTTCTTTGCTCTTGGTGTAAATTGAATACATTTGTGGAGTCGTTTAAATATGTTGGATTTTAAATATATTGGATTTTAAACTGTCATACAATTTTTTTCATCGATAGTATGTAATTGGAACCATAACTCTTATTTATTCAAATTGTATTAATATGTAAAGACCAGTGGAATCTTATCATCGTTAAATCTTATCTTATAAAACCAATGGAACTTCAAAATCGTTAAAATTCATGGCTCCCGCTGCATTGCGCGGGTACACAACTAGTAATATAGTATAGATATAGACGGTAATCGTGCAATACAGCAAGACATCTCGATATTTGATTTAATATAGGTTTAATAACAAAATAAGTTTAATAATATAATTTTCAAATAAATGTAATAATTAAGTATTTTGTTAGAACTCAATGATTATCCTAATTATATTTTATAATTTTTATATTTAAAATAAAATGTTTATCATATATTTGATTATGTTTATCTGCAGTTAGTTACAAACTAAAAAAATGAAGCTTTAATAAGTTGTACTTACACACGATTTACTTGTAATCGTGAATTTTAAGTAATGTGCATTAATAAATAGTAATTAATGGATAAAAATGGTTTTTACATCTCGATTTAATGTTTTGTTTTATTCCTTGTCTCTGTCGATATGATATGGTTTTGAAAAAAACACATTGATATTAATATCAAATTAACTATTTAAAGGTTCTCTTTTTTTATTTCTTTAATTCAATTTTTTTATTATAGTTTAATTTAGGTTCAAAAACAAAACAATTTATTTTTAGTTTAATAATATAATCTTTTATAAAGATGATAATTAAGTATTCTGTTAGAACTCAATAATTATCTTAATTATATTTTAGATATTTTATATTTAAAAATGAAGTTTATCCAGTATTTGATTATGTTTATCTAAAGTTATTACATGAACTTAAAAATGGAGCTTTAATAAGTAGTATACCTACGTAAAATTTACTTGTAATCGTGAATTTTAAGTAATATGCATCAATAAACAATAGTTCAAACATAAAAATGGTTTTTAAGAGTTTTTGTCAAATACTCTTATCTTTTCGTCCTTATGACTAATTCTGTTAAATTTCAACTGTTAAGTTAAAGATAGTTTGGTCATTTTACTCTTTAACGTGATATATTTTAAAAACAAGGGTTAATTATAATTACTAAAAACCACCCCAATCCCAACTAGTATGTTTTCCTTTTCTTACTTCAAATAAGTAAACAAAAAGACCCTAATAATGGATCTGAATAAATGATTCGTGGAACAATTGTTGTTGGTGGGAGAGTAACCAGGGATTAGAGATGTAACATCCAGAATCTACATTTGCATATAATCATGTATTTTATATATCAAGAAATATAAATACATATTCTGGCCCAAATATATATATAAAAGCTATATCATAAAAGTAGCTACCAAAATTTTCCACAAAATCTTAATACAAAATTTGTACTCATAAACAACATGCAGGTACAAGTAACAACACATTATCACAAAATTCATATGCAGACAATCATATATTTGTTCATAAAAGATTTCTTTTCCCCTTATCAATTTCTTCATAAATTTTTTTTCCCCTTATCAACTGGTTGCCTGACCTGTAACGCACATTTTAGAACATCAAAATGAGGGTTAGACCTTGAGGTATAGTGAGAAATCCCTTTTATGAAATTACAGGGTGAATATCACCAAAACCCTTTTATAAAACTCATATTTGTAATAAATAACAAATATATAATGTTTTGACAAAATAACCCTCTTTTGCCACATCAAACCACAAAATACTCATTTATCGCATAACACGTGAACTCAATAATTCATATAAAACAAACCATAATTTCCTCATAACACCTTGGGTAAGATAATCTCATTTCCTCGCAACACGCTGGTGCGGGAACCCATCTCATCGCAACACACTGGTGCGATCAACACACACTGGGTGAGACTACCCATTTCCTCGCAACACTGGTGCGACCACAACATACTTCATCACATCAAAGCCTAGAGGCAAGACCAACCAGAACCCCTCTAGTCCTTAAGAACCAAAGCCCCTCTGGAATCACCAACCGAAAGTAAGGCCAACCCAAAAGTAAGGCCAACCAGAGGCCCTCTGGTCAATTAAAGCCTCTGGTTCGTCTATCCATAGCCTCTAGGTCAAGAAAATGTTTAATACTTAAAAATTTGGGTTTCAAATACATCCAGAGACCCTCTGGTTAAACATTAAGCTCAATAGAGCCCCTCTGGTTTCTTTATCATAGAATTGAATATTTTCTCAAGGTTCAAATGAACAACCAGAAGCAAAGTCATCCATAAGCCAGACCAACCAGAGGCCCTCTGATCAACCAAAACCCCTCTAGTTCTTAAAACAATAATAAGTTTACTTCATCACATCAATAGGATGTGATAACCCAAGTCCTCGCATCACACAGATGCGATAACTCAAGGTCATTGCATCACAAGGATGCGATAAATATGAATGTGATCAAAAACCCAGATTTTCACAACACACTGCATCCATCCCAAATTCATGACGTTATACACACCACTCAGAAGCAATCCCAGTAGAAGGCCACCCAGAAGCAAGACCCTCCCAGTAAAAGGTCATCTCAATCGCAAGGCCATCCCAGTAGAAGACCACCCAGAAGCAAGACCCTTCTAGTAAAAGGTTATCTCAATCACAAGGTCATCCCAGTAGAAGGCTACCCAGAAGCAAGACCCTCCCTGAGCCCTTCTGGTCAACTAGAGTCCCTTTGGTCTTTCTGATCAAGTGTTCATTTAATCGTATTAATAGGATGCGACAACTCAAAGTTATCGCATCATACAAATGAGGCAATCCCAAGTTATCGCATCACACTGATGCGATAACAGTATCTATGATCAAAAGATCATCATTTCCAGAAATTGATTATGTCACCCTTATCCCAATATACTCACCTCCTTGATATGTCACCCTTATTTTCACACATGATATAATCAATGATAAAAATCCACCTTTTTGCCAATAATGACATCAAACTGTTTTATCTCAAAATCTCATATAAAGTACCATGCAGTTCTTATACCCAATTTTCAAATAAGGAAAACTTTAAACAAAAACTCACCATCATACTAAAAATAATACATAATCGTTCAAAGACACCTAAGTACGAAACCATACGGTTCCTTAAATGAAGCTTTTAAAGTAAAACTTACAATTAAAAACTCACCTTATGATCACAAAAATGAAGATGAACAACACGTATTCAGATTATAATCACATAAAATGGGTTCTTACAAAAACAAGGCTATGCCAAAGATCGGAGATGGAGGGGAGAGAAGATTTTGAGTTTTAGATCTTTGTATTAATCTCATAATGTTTGTTAAGGTTGAGTTCTACTTCGATTAATCAAATTGTATTGCGTTTTTAGGGCTCAAGATTGTTGTGTCGACCACCATTAATGGTGTTTTTGAACAAGGGTTAAATGCATGAAATAACAACCTACTTTCATAAATTTTCTTATTATAGCATTCTACTTTTGTTTTTCTTTATTACAGCAAGTTACTTTCAAATTATTTTTCATTAAGGCATCGTACTTGAAAAAATCTACCCATTATAGCAATGAGTAACATATTACCTTTTAAAACGGTTAACCCTTTGACATTTTTTGCTTTTGTGGCTTTAATGAGGTGATGTGGATGATACATCATTTTGATTACTTAACTAAAATAAAAATAAAAAACTATTTCAAATTATTATTAGTGATTTTCATTTTTCATCGTTATGATCTAAAAAAACATTTAATTTTTTTGACTTTTTCTTATTATGTTGCATGCAAATTAAATATTCTTAGAGTAAAATATTTATCAGATAAATATGAAAGATTATTTTTGAGATATATTTTGTTTGTAGAAAAGGTAACTCTTCTTATTTTATGTTGTTAAAAAAAATACATATCTT